GCTTACCTTTGCGGTCTATTTTGATATCCAACATAAGAGGCTCCTTGTTGCCTTCGTTGTTCTTGCCCAAACCTTCTCCTAGCTTCCAGCCCATCTTCTGCAGCAAGAACATCCCGATGCCGCCGTTGACGGGCGCGGCTTGCAAGAACTGACTCTGTCCACACAACATCCAATCACTTAGTTCCAAACACTCTCATCATTTGGCTAACATAACAATGGTCAAGAAATAATAGGGAACAGGTCGGCAATCTAAGCTTTTATCCCAAGTACAGACCTAGATTAGATCTCTAGAGTGTAGCTGACAGCACAAAGTGGACTCCCCCAACCCTAGGCCTACACTTCCGGGTTGTCAGCCTTTCCTAGAGACTTTTATCATTTTGGGAAAAATTGACAAAAACAACAAAACTTTAATATACCTTACCTAAATTTGGTACTCATTTTATTCAAACCTTCATTTGTGTGCATAACAAATTTGATGGCAAAATATGTCATAGTTTTTACGCAATACTCCTGGTGGAAAAAGGTCCGAGTACAGAGTCAAAAAGTTAACAAAAAGCGCAGAAAGGAAGTGCGTTCAAATTTCGCATCCCCTCCCATGGTTCACGAGCATAGCTTTCTTTGTTCTATATTTGGGCTTACATTACAGGTCATAGCCTGTTTCAAATGGAAAATGCTTCCTCTTTCCAATAAGCCTATAGTCTGCTCAACTCAAAAACTAGTGTTTTCAGTCACAAGAGCAAAATTTTCCATACCGATACTGTTGGCGTTGGGGTTGGAGCGTTTCGCACACATACCGACATTATCAGCACACATCGACATTATCAGCACACACCGACATTATCAGCACATAGCGACATTATCAGTGGTAGGGCAGGGTGAGTTAACCCCCCGAGAGTCAGCTTAATAACGGCCCTATTTACAGGTGAAAGAACACCTGTGGACTGTAGCCATACGACTGGGATCACAGCGGAAAAACTTTTCCTAATTTCTTCTGAACTGGTGAAAAAAACAACTAGTGAGGCAAAGGTCTCAAGGCGTTTTAAAATAGCGAAAGGTCAATGCAGTCAATGACCTCAATCCTCTTTTTGCTTCACTTTCTCATGGGAATAGATTATTTTTTACTACAAACCATTTCCAACAGAGAGTGTCGGCCCTTTCAGCTGACACCATTCACTGGCATGTTGCATTCAAGCAAAGGCATCCTTGACTTCAAGCAGTGGGTACTCCATGACAGGCTTTCTCTTTAACCCATTACCAGAGGTAGCCTTGACTCATTCAAAATACCAAGGCTATGACTTACCCATTCTTAGATGTTGGAACATTTCAGGGGAGGGGACTAGAAGCATGTATGGACTTAAAGATGGGATTCGCAGGAGGATAATTTTGAGAAAATAGACCTACCTACGCCCTCAATATTTTACTGGCTTTCTCGAAAGCCAAGAAACTGCCTACACGACAACAGCACTTGGTCCCTAGTCCCATTCAAAGACTTCCCAAACCCACCCGCTTCCTCTTCCATAACACCAGAACTACAGTCAGGATAAGGTGACTGGGGGTCATCAAATTAAACCTGAAAAGTTGAACATGTTTGAGAGCTACAGAATAAAGTGTGTACATCAAACAACTTTAGCGAGTCCAGAATATGGTCCACAATCCGATTGTCCTTTCCCAGAGAAGCACAACTTCTCCAGAGAACTTTGGAAGTTTCTGACAGGGAAGGAGAGCAAGGGGCGCTATTGCTTGCCCGTGGACAAAGTTGCATCATGTACACACCCTATTCAAGGAACAGTTTTCAAGTGTGAGCCGGTGCGTACCACCACACTAGCCTCCAGCCTCACGGCGGGGGATGCTTCAAGCACACACAGGACGGGGAGGTGAGCTGGCAGCTAGTGTGGTGGTACGCAGCCAAGCTCCGACTCCTGGACGAAGGCCTCCATGGACAGGAAACCTGTAAAAGAACATGGAAAGTTCCGTACAGGCGACAGCCATAAACCATGCTCAGGAGATAAGTGCCCATGTCATGTGTAGGAGAAATTTCACTAGAATCACATTCATGAGGCTGCAATGACAGTACTATGTAAATAGCTCTGAGATAAAAATCCGTTGAAAGCTTTTTTTTTTTTGCTGAGATTCAAATTCTCTAGTAAGAAACACAGGTAAAAAGAACCCAACGTCCCTGGGGACAAAAGATGCAAAATATGACATGGGCATTTATCTAGGAGCATAGCATAGGCTTTCGCAATAAGTGGAAAACTTCAGAACAAACACTTTAGTCTACGTAAAACGATTTTTTATAGCCAATTCCAGTCACATTTATAATCAGGCAAAAAAATCCATAAATGAATGATGAAACTTTCATCTCTTGACCTTCCCATTCTCAGAAGTTGGAACATTTCAGAGGAGGGGGTCAAGAGTTGCATCTCCTTCTCCGATGGGGAAGTCATAATGCAATTGCAAAAAGAAGCACCCTTGTCTGAAGAGGAAAAGACACAGATCAAAACTTTTTTTAAAATCACAATCTAAACCTGCAGATGCTCAACTGCTCAAAATTGAGCATTGTAAAAATCTGCAAGGATTAAACAAACTACTCTTCTGATGGTACACATTACCTCTGTCAGACAACACAACACAACACACAGCACAACACGACACAACACACGTGTCCTCTGATGGTACACATTACCTCTATCAGACAACACAACACAACACACAGCACAACACGACACAACACACGTGTCCTCTGATGGTACACATTACCTCTGTCAGACAACACAACACAACATACAACACACAACACGACACGTGTCCTCTGATGGTACACATTACCTCTATCAGACAACACAACACAACATACAACACACAACACGACACGTGTCCTCTGATGGTACACATTACCTCTGTCAGACAACACAACACAACATACAACACAACACGACACAACACACGTGTCCTCTGATGGTACACATTACCTC